AAATCACAAGAGAACATGCATAGCTCACAGTTGCCGGCACAAAAATTACCGCTTACCAAGGGCGTCACTGTCAATGGGCTGGCAAAGCGTTTGTCAATGGAACGCTTTTCTCCACCACCACCACTGTCTGGTCCGGCTTTTTCATACATACGCCCGAATGAGGGAATCATGTATGCACAGTTGGATCACAATGAAGAACAAAACCAACGTCGCCAGTCACTACATTCACCCATCCGAGACCTGCGTACGCCGCAGCGAGAGTACCGTTCACCAGCTCGTGATATTAGGGATCTACGTTCACCGGAACGCGATCTCCTTATGTCTGATATGGTGCTGGGTCGACAGTCAGTTGATCGAACTGACTTTTCTGCTAGTCAAAACATCTTAAAAAATGCCAGCTATAACACCAACTCCCATAACCGTCGAATTGGAAATAGCAATGGCAGTCGCATTATAATTGAACCATCACCACGCGCGCATGATGCGTATGGATCGCAAGCCGCCGCGGTCGGGCCCACTACCATACGCATCACCAATTCGCACTCACCTTCCCCATGGCAGCAACTTAGTCCTCGTAACTTAAGCGATGAGGATGAGGGATTAGGTACGGAAACCCGGAAATATTACGAGGATGAAGCGCTGCCTATTACAAAGTCTCGCGGTAGTAAGTCCCCTGCTGAGCCGCCAATTGTTCCAGTCATTCGCAGCATCACTCCTACCCGCGAGAACGGTTATGATGCTTGTGCCTATCAGTCGGCTTTGCGCGATGAACCTATGGATGATATTGGCTATCGCCGGGCCCGACTTGAGTCACGAATTTTGACACGCCGTTTCGGTGAGTCGGCAACATTAGATCGCAATATATCTAATCGCATTAAAGGCATGTCACCTGAACGCAATGGATATCACCGCGACACTGGAGCCTCGCCAGAACGCAACAGAGAAGTGCGCGAAGAGTCAACGCAGCATCGCTACCTCAGCCCGGAACGCGAGAGAGAATCATACGAACCGCGTTTTCACAAAATGGAAACCTCTGAGATACTAAATAAATACTCACCAGAACGCTCACACTTAGATATTATTGCGCCAACAGCGGCGCCAGTTACAACGCCACCGATAGAAAGAACTTCTAGATATAAGCACACTAAATACTACGATGATGAACGTGGGGGTATAAAAGAGGTGTATGAGCGGGAGACACATTTGGATGTACACGGGAAACCACATGTGCGCGAGACACGACATTGTGAGAGAATGGATGGCTCATTGGAGCGCCAACAACTGAATGACTATGAGCCCAAGAGTTTGGATTCACAGCTAACGAGCACTGATCAATATCGCTCCTCGCCCGAGAACATGAAGCGTTATGAGATAAGTTTGGCACACCCCCATGACATGCATAGCAGCAGTCTGAAGCGGGATAAGCTGCAACAGCGAAGCTTCGACAAAGGGGACTCTGGTATTGAGAATGACTTTCGAAAAGAATCCTTCAATGGAGAGCTAACATCAAGGTAATTAGCATAATATTTTGTTTATTGTTTTCGTATTCAGGGTACTTTTTGTGAAATATTTCCACTTAGATGGCGCAAGCGGACCACTGCAGATGATATAAAAGCTTGCGAATCATTTCTTCGGAAGGAACGGCGTCACATCGAGCAGCTGCATGTAACACGACGCAAGGATAGTTACGTCTATCGAGAAAGATCCATCGACGACGGCTCACACTATGATCCGCATCTGGACAAGTATCCAGTTGCAAATAACACGCTTCGACGGAAGGATCAACAGTCGCAGACTGCCGGATCCGAGACGATAAAACGCAATAAGAAGCTCGGCGGTTTCGAAAAAGTTAAACAGCTTTTTACAGGCGTAAGTGCTGGCGGTGGAAGCGGCAGCGGAAGCGAGGGTGGCAAATCTGGCAAAAAAGATGGCGAGAGACAAACGCGCGGTAATAGCAGCATCACTACGGTGACGACGAACAGCAGTTCGCCAACCACTCGAGGAACGGGAATATCCAAAGACAAAGACAATAGTGGAGGAGAGAAAGAACGTGACCGCTACATGGTAAAAGAAGAAGAGATGCGTTCGCGTTACAGTGAGCATCACGGAGCTGGCGGAACGAACACAGCGGCAATGCCGCGTGATAATGGGTTCCGCGAACCAAAGGTGAGTGGCTACTACAGCTAAATAGCTAATATTTTAAAAACAACATTAAGAATGTGGAGAAAAAGGCATGAATGGCTAATTAGAAAATGATTCACAGTGGCGGTTGTGTTGTGCTAAACGCTTGGGGTGTAATATGTGAAAGATCAAGTTCAGTGCCCACGCTGGTATGTGACCTTTCTAATTATTTTCGTATCGATTTTTAAAGCATTATTAAAATGTTGCCACCAGCGTTCTGGTGGGAGTTTGCCCGTCACATATGATCACCCCACACATATACCTAACGGTCCAAACAAAGAAATAGCGTGAGATCAAAGCTCTTTCAAAAAGCATGTTTCCGCATGTGGAATTCTATTGTTTTGTCTATCACAAGATGGCCTATTCAATAAAATCTAACAACAACAAATCTAATATAATATTTTACCAGTAATCACGTTCAATTGCGCCACGATAACATGTCAATGTGTTAATGCCTGGTAGTTGGACAATAGTAGATTTTTCTTTTGCAACTATACAAGCCATTTAAGCAATACAAGTCCCTGTTCGAATGACGCAATGGCTATCGCATCTTTGACGGCGCCACTTTGACTCTAAAGCTGCTGAACGCCGTGTTGGCGATGGTTACAAACACTCCAAATCTTTGCTATACAATAGTTGGACGAATGTAACTATACTTGCATACATACGTACGTTAAAAATGTGCATGTTTATGTGCGAATGATGAGTAGACTGTATATGACTTGCTGAAAATCGCTTCCTTGTGGCATGTTGGCGCTTTGGACGCACGTCAGTTGAGTACATCGTTGGCGGCAATCGAGACCGCACTTGAAGTGAGGTGCTACTTGTGGTGCAATGGCGCTGCATTGTCCGCTACTGCTGGTTGCCACACTTCCGTAACAACTACTACGTCTACTCTTAATTTGGCATGCAAATGGAGCTTTAGTAAGATTGCAACATCATCAGTATGATTGTGCGATTACAGCGCTGCCGCTACCGCTTGTTGAATATCGCACCCACAATTTCCCAAATGCAGCTTGTGCATTTGTACATGTGTACATGCATACCTACAAATTTTCAGCGAAGAAGCATCATTCCAACTTCAGTTTATTGCTGAGGAATAGGTTTTTGTAAGTCATCGGCAAGCAAGGAGAGGGCTTTTGAATTTGAATATTATGATTATGTACTAGACGCTCGTTATGATCCATGAAATGTTTGAGAAAAGTCATGGAGGTCACCATATTGTTGTGCTACTATTGCCCTTTACTCGTGTAATAAAGGTCCACTCTTACGTGAGCTGTGAAAAGCTTCTGCTTCGTTTTTTTTTTTGTCCAATCGTGTATTTACAAATGAAAGCATAAGTTTGTGCATACATAAGTATGTTCAAAAGTAAGCACAAATACCTATATGTCTGTATACACATGCATATAATACATACTATGCATAAATATTAACTGATTTTTGAAGAGACCGCGCTAAAGATTTTTATTGATGCCACTGTAAGAGCAATTTGTCAATCATTGAATTCCATTTTGAAATTTCAGCGTATTGTGTGCCGTTAACACTTTAAAATTTACGCTAAGTTCCCACAGTGTAAAGGTCTGATTATGCATACTTCGCATAACTTCGCACAACCATTTGCAATAGAAATTTAACTTAAGAAAATTCCAAGCAAAATCTAAACTCAACAGATCGCGAAGTTTTCCAAAGTTCCGCTAATTTCTGGGTAATGGAATACATACAAAATATATACAAAGTTCATACGAAATTAGAGTTTGAAGTTTATGCCATGTTGTGCGAAGTTATGCGAAGTATGCATAATCAGACCATAACTCATTCGTAATTCGCTCTCTCATTCGTAATTCGCTCTCTCATTCGTAATTCGCTCTCTCATTCATAATTCGCTCTCTCATTCGTAAATGGCTCTCCAATTGGAGAGCGAATTACCTAACTTGAAGGTAATGCAGATAATTACCATGCGAATTAAGAACAAATCATTGCCATCCCTAGTTTTAATCGGAAATTTATGTTTTATACTAGCAGAACCCCCGATGTCGTTGGGGGTAAACAAATGAAAATATAAAACAGTTGTACAAATATTCAGTTCAGCAAAAATTAAAGGAGACAAACAATTTTCTTTCTGTTGAAATTAAGACATCCTTATGAACCATACTTTTAGTTTTATCGCGCTTCAACTACTATCAGGCATGTTCTGAAATTCGAAAATTTGAAATCGACTCGATTTCGATAATTTTTTCCGAAGGTTTTTAACCCAAAAACTTAAAAGTCTCGCATTAAAATTATGTATTTCATATCGCTGACACTTCTTTCACGGTTTTCAATTAGATTATTCACTCTTTTCATCAGATATAATTAAAAAATATTTGGCAAGTCGAGTCGATTTCAAAGTTTCGAATTTCAGAACATGCCTGTATATATTTGTCATCATTTTCTGTACTACAAATCTTGTTTCATTATTAATATTTGATGGATTAAGGCAACGATAGAATTTTCAAATTAGAATTAGTCTACTATG